CGCCGCCGCAGCCGCCTCTCAGCGCGGCGCCGCGCCACGCCTCACACCGGGCCCCCCTTCGCTCCCCCTCCTCCGCCCGTAATGGGAGCGCCCGCCGCGCCGCCTCGACACAGCGCCTGGCGCGGCCCATTGGCGGAGCAGGGGAGTCCCGGCCCGCCCGGCCCGAAGGCGGCTTTGGGGGTGGCGGGTGCGGGACCCCGGGGCTGGGGCAGTGCCTGATGTTCACTCGCTCCGTGCCCGCTGTTCGTTCGCTCCGTGCCCGCTGTCCGTTCGCCCCGTGCCCGCTGTCCGTTCGCCCCGTGCCCGCTGTTCACTCGCTCCGTGCCCGCTGTCCGTTCGCCCCGTGCCCGCTGTTCACTCTCTCCGTGCCCGCTGTCCGTTCGCCCCGTGCCCGCTGTTCATTCTCTCCGTGCCCGCTGTCCGTTCGCTCCGTGCCCGCTGTCCGTCCGGCGCGGCGCCGCTCCCGGCCGGCACTAGGGGTCAGCCCCGCGCCGGGGATCGCGGGCAGGGGAGGGAGCCGGGTCCGCTCACAGCCACAGCGGTGATTTGTCTGTACACAAACCTGCACGTTTTCACTCAAAAACTGTTCAGTAAATGCATTTAACCCCCTTTTCCTCTCGAGGCTGTGGTTCGCGTTCCTTCCCTTACTTTTATCTTGTTTTTCTGCAGCCAGTTGTCTCCTGGAGCCAGCTATGGGCAGTCACTGGTGACATTTCCACACTGACCAATGTGCGTGAAATTGTCATTAGAGCGACTTTGGACTGCCAGGGGTCGGCTTTTCCCACACAGGTCTGCGTGCATATAAATATAAATATAAATATAAATGCAAATATAAATATAAATATAAATATAAATATAAATGCAAATATAAATATAAATATGTATCGCTATATTCAGGCTTGGCTTTTCTCTGTCTCCTAGCAAAAAAAGTGTGAGAATGGGGATGGAGTTGGGTTTGGGTCTGACTGAAGAAGTACCAAGAAAATAAGACAGCTCCTGGAATAAGCAAAAAAAGTTTTCCTCCCTACAGGGCAGTGGATTCATTCCCTCCTCAGCCTTTTAATTTTCCTCCATGGACAATATTCTCAAAAAGATTTCCCAAAGGGCCTTGGTTCCATTCAGGAGGAGCTGCTGGAAGTTTGGTGTGGGTTTGGAAGTGCAATCGACACAGGCAAGAGTTTGGGAACTCTCAGGAAGGAACTTCTCCCAGCTGCAAGCTGAATTATTTCTGATCACATTCTCCACGTACCAGGCAGGGGTGGAATCCACTCTCCTCCAGTTTCTCAGATCTTGCCTGAGACTGTAAAAATTCATCCAACAACTCCACTGAGGCCAGCAGGAGATGACCCTTGGCACATCAGCATCTGAATAAACCTCTCAACTAGAAAAAGTAGCAGCCTTTTTTCCTCAAAAGCCTGTCACTGTTTGGTGGGGAAGGCAAGGGGCTGTGGAGCTCACTGTACTGCAGAGCAGATCAGGCCTTTGAAACTCAGAGTTAAAAAATTAAAGATTCTGCCTGGGGCCTGTAACCTCTGCTGAGGTGTCAGTCCAAGCCAGGGCTGTGAGGGATAAAACCTCATGGTGCTTCAAACCACTAAACCAGCTCAGTGTATTTCATGCCAGCCTGAAAACCTGACTTGCCTTGTTATTAGAAATGGAACATACGGTATAAATTTAGCAATCCCCAGTGTATTTAGCATTTCACATCAGTCAGATTTTACTCGACACGAAAACCTGAACTTTAACCTGTATTTAAATGTCTGGATTTCTTGCTCTAATTTGACGTACTCAAATGTCCTAGTTCCTGGCAAGCCCCGGGTCTTTGCTGGGTAAATGTTCTGAACCATGGCTGCCCAAATGGGTACTGGTGTCACAGGAACCACTCGCTGCTGTGCTGCAAAAAAAGATTTCAGTGGCTATCCCCAGTACATGACAGCCCCCAGGGACACAGTCCTTGCAGATGTACCTTAGTGGGGGTAAAAATGAGCTTTTCTAACCCTCCATCACGTGTAGAATACACCCACTATGGCTGCAGACCCTCGTGCTGCCTTTAACGACATTTGGATATGATTTTATGCATGAATTAGACTCACAATAATAATATTCAGTGTTTGGGTCATTATGACTGCCTGCAGAAAAAGCAAAGCTCCCAAACCCCCTGCAGGGTGAGAACTGCCCTGCTTTGACACAGACCCCAGCAGGACTTGGGCACAACACTGGGGCCACACACAAGAGCACACACGTGTGTCTAAGGTTGTTTATTAATTCGGACTGTTCTAAGTTGTACAATTATGAAAACAACAAAACGACTGCTGGAAGCCCAGGAATATTTACAATCTCGCCTTGTTGTAGTGAGGTCAGTCTATGTTGTTGCACAGATTGGTTATGTTTGGTACCACAAGATGTTTAAAATTCAGACAAATTTGAACAGATTAACAATTGTATATACAGGAAATAAAAGGAAATTCAAGTATCAAAATACAGACAGATTAAATAACATTTGTATTACAAATCAGCCCCACTGCCATACATCACAATTAGCAAAAATGTCCACATTGCAAACTGAACTCGACTGTCTCTGCCCTGTCAGGGAATCCCAGGTTATTCTTCTGTGGGTAAGAAAAATGTCTGAGCTGGGTTGACTTAGCGAGAACAGCACAGGTACTTTTCTTTTGGGAAAACAAATTTAAGGTAATTTCAATGAGAGATCTAAAAGGGAGACCTTTGCAACACGGCAGCGCTGTGAGCGCTGTGCCAGCTCCAAAGCAGGATCTGAGCAGAGCCAGGGAAATGCTGCTGCTGGGAACTTCTGAGGTGGGTGGAAGGAGCATTAAAGCATTGGCTCCACCTCAGCTGCACACAGAACGGGACGAGTTCGGGGCTTTTTGGCATCTGCTCTGTGTCTCAGCAGCCTCCTGAAGGTACAGACTTCACTGCAGGTACAGCCTGGAAGGTGCTGCATCTTCTCCCTGGGAGGGGGGACAGGCGTGTACCCCAAAAAAGTTGCATAATTTCTTCTAAAAAAGAACAATCCCAAAGCAAGTTTAAAGTCAGTTGAACAGCTAAGGTTAGCGCTGTTTTTTTTTTTTCTTTGTAAACACAAAATTAAAAAAGGATAAAGCATCTTCAATTTGAAAAAAAAAAAATCATCCCCTCCTATAAAAAGAAAGACAAAACTTGGCAACTCTGTTTGCCAGCCGTGAGTGAGGGCTCAGCCCACAAACCAAAGTCTGTGAAACACAATCTGTCTTTAAAGAGAGGAACAGAGGAGCCCCAACTCCTCCCGGGCAGGTAATACAGCAGATGCAGTTGGATGCAATGTCATGTTCAGCACCAGAAATTTGGGGCAGTTTCCTCCAGATAGCACAAAACCCTGCAGGGAGGAAGAGCCCGAATACTGCACAGTGGGTGGGTGAGGATGGCCAGGAGCCAAGGACTGGCACAGCCCAGGGTCACCCCACCACACTGAACTGCCAAAACAACTGCTCTGTCTGCGAGAAAGGTGAGAAAGGGAGTGTCTGGCTAAAGAATGGATCACTAAAGACAACCACAGGTTTACACGTGGGGCTGGAATGGACCGCCAGGGTCACCGAGCCCAGTGCCTGAAGATTGGAGTCTTCATCACCACGTTACCTCCAAGCCAACCTCCAAAAAAGCTCACGTGTCAGCAAGGAAAGGTGTCCCTCCTCCCAAGCAGAGGTTCAATTTGCAATCTCACCAAAGACTTGTTGCCAACACACCAAATATTTACACTTACACCAGTATGAATTGCAACATGTGCATAACAAGGAATGTTAGGTTTCTTAAATTCATTGATTCAACCCAAAATCTCCACTCCCCCTTCCCAATCCTTTACAGGTCTGTGCCCTTGGGATTATGGTTCACTTCCCTCCCAGCCTCACTGGTGAGAGAGACTAAAGGAAATCCTGACAATACAGCAGCAAGTGGAGTTAAACAGGAATTACTGGGCACAGTGTTCTCGTGCAGCAGCAGGTCCCACAGCCCTGACAGGGCCTGGCGAGATCGCGACAGACGCGCTGCGCTGCATTCTGCATCTCAAGAATTCAAATCACAACCATTTTAACACCCTCCCCAGAGGGGAACAGTCTGAAAACACGTCAGTCACAGCCCAAACCACTGTGAAACGCTCTGGAATTCAGAATAAAAGCAAGCACACAACACCTTTGAGGTGGTGTCTTTGGGGACACTGGGCTCGGACGGGGCCAAGCCCCCCTCAGGCTGATGTGGTTTGTCCTTGGGGATGGACTGTTTCAGTGTAATGCCCAAAATTTAACTCCTTATTTGTTCATCTTCTGAAACGGTTGCACTAATTAAATAATGAGCTAGTATCAAAAAAGTGCTAAATCACAATTGAATATACTTAAAAAAACCCCAACCCTTCAGGGCATAACTGCATTTAAAAACAAGACAGGTGCACAGAGGCTGGAGCAGGGAGTTGTCCCCAGGAATTCAGTGCGGAAATGGGAAGAAATGGGGTCCTTGCCATAGAAATGTCAAGTATTGCAACACGACAGTTCGGGGGGTAAGGAAGCTTTGTACCATCGGGGATATTGGCCACAGCTGCTCTGGGGTGAAGGTTCCTTCGCAGATTCTTTTCCTCAAGTTCCTTCCATTTGCTACAAAAGCGTGGAGTGGCTCGGAGAACAGCATGCAGACTTACCCTGCCAGGTTCTCACACAGGAGGAAGCGATCTCCGGGAATTTGGCGTTCTCTCCTGTTCACCCAGAGCTGAAGCAGAGTAAGTACCATCAGAAATGTGCACACCACGCCCCTGCTAAGACTTTCTATCGTGCTCCTCGCCGGACTGCAGGATTCTCAGCAAATAAAAATCTGTTTGTTTTCTCTTTTTTTCCTCACCAAAAGGCTGCAGCGCTACATTGAAACCGTGAACCGGATTTGCTCTGAGTCTCTTTGTTAAAAAAGAAATGAGTTGAAAGACGTTTTGTCTCAAACTAGGAAAGGCGACATCGCTCCTGGCCTTTGCTAGGAATGGAGATGAGCAGCTTTCCTCGGCGGAGGCTGGCTCCCTGCCCCCCTGCGCTCTGGCAGCCCTCACCGAGCAGCCACGCACCCACCCGTGCCACAGGGAGATGATCTTCGTGTCAGGAGGCCACTGCGTCCCAGGTGTCTGCCCCAGCACTACATCCCGTGGTAGGAGACGGCTGCCCGGAGCTCAGCTTCGCAGAGGCAAACAGAAAGGAAGATAATGGAATGAATGTCCGAGTCACACAAAAACCGTGCTGGGAAAGGCCGGGCGAACGGCCCCGAGATGGGACACAAAAACCGTCAGGGTACGGACACAGAGCGGCAGCGGTTTGGTTTGGGAAGGGCTGCCTGTGATCCCTGCTGGGTTTGGTCACCCTGAGAAAGGCACACGCTCTCCTGACCCGGATTTAGGGGGGTGGAGGGACCTGCCCTTCCCAGCTGAGAGCAGGGGGAGGTGAAGGGCTCAGAGCTTCTGACATTGGGGGCACGTGTGGCAGCTGTGTGCTGAACATCTACACATAGAAACCGTTCTGCCACCCACACCAGGGAGTGAGTTTCTCCTAGAGGGACACAGAAACCTTCATGGCACTCTTAGAGCTTGGAAAAGTGCTGATGGAACCCAAACCCAACCTCCCGGAGCACCTCAGGCACAGCAGTGTTCTGCGGTCCACAAGGCCTGGGCTGGCAGGGTGGCACTGCAGGCCCTGGGCAGTGCTGACTCTGTGTCGGGGGACTCTATAGCATATGAAATGTATGAACTAGATTGAGCTTTCTTTTGTTTTTTTTTTTTTGCTTTAAGACATTTTTACTTTTAGTCCTCTCACTGGGCTCCCACTGGCTGAACCCTCAGTATGAGGTCAGTTTGCCATTAAGTTACAAATGATTTGGGAAATCCAACTCATTCCTGAGAAAGAGCTAAAATAAGGACTTTTAAAACATCAGATTTCATTGCAGGTGAGGGGAAATGGAAGATCTGAAGCAGCAGCTCCAAAGCCACAGCAAAACTCAGACAAGCTGCTACTGGGCCTTAACACCAGGGGCAAATAACCCAGGGCTGCTCCCTGGCCTCTCCCTGTGATGCTGCTTGTGGTGCCCAGCTGACACCTCCCCTCCCCAGCCTGGGGCTAACAACAACACGTGCCTTTGGAAGCCTAACCACAGGCTGCCACATGAGAACTACACCCAGCTCTCACAGAGAAGTCTGGTGAGTGTAAACACAAGGACTATGAGGGAAAGAAAAACCTACAAAGGACTGAAATGCATGCCACCAAACCCCCCCTCATATCCGAGGGGACAGAGCTCACAGTGGGAACGACCACACCCGGCCCAAACCAACGCTCCCCCACCACCCAGAGCAAGTTCTGCACTGGGCTTTGAGGAAGGAGACTGTGGGCAAGGGTGGCCGTGAGGAAATGGAAGTGCCCGTGTGTTATTTCAGAGAGCATCACAGTGGTTAGTGTCGGTTCGAGTGGCAGGAAGGAGAGGTGAGTTCACTGAACAGTACACAGCCGCGGCTCAGCCGGGAAGAGGAGGATCTAGGAGGAGGGAGTGTGTGCACCACGGAGACAAGAGGTCTCCATCAGTCCAAAGACAAGGTGAGATAGAAAAAAAAAAAAAAAGGCCTGGGGAGTATCACATTGCCCCAGGGATTCACAGTGCCAGAGCGAGGGGGGAAGACGTGAAAACGGTGGGCGGCTTTCCTGGATCCACATCTCCGCCTGCCAGCCTGCCCTCTCTGCTCCTCCCGCCTGGCGGGCAGCTACAGCGTTACCCTTGTTTCCGAGAAAGGAGATTCACAGTGTTCAGCAGGTACAAAAGCCGGGTAAGTCTACAGTCTCCTAAGTGCTGCTGCCTTGGATGTGGTGCCTAGGAGGGCTCAGGGCGAGCAGCTGGAGGAAGAGGGAGTTTAGAAGAGCAGACAGATCAGATCGCAAAGGCACGGTTAGACGGGGCGGGCGCGGGCGCTTGCTTTAGAAGATAGTGGTCTCATACTTAGTGCTGAGGGTCCGCTTGGAGTCCTGCTTGGGGTCCACGACCCAGGAGACACTGGCATGAGACTGGGAGTCTTGGTCCACTTCAGGAGGATCCAGCTAGAAAATAAGGAGAGAAAGGGCACCTTAGGACACCTGTGCTTCTGGGACAGAACGAGCGGGGACTCAAAGAACAGAGTGCCTGCCTGCCTACTGCCCGTACCAAAAATGTGCACAAATGTGTGCAAGGAAGCAGCTCTTGCTGGGGAGGCATTTCAGCCCTTCACAGCTAAAACGTGTCTGGCCATGTCAGTCTCAACCCAGCACCCCAAGATGACTCCCTGCATTAGGCTGAGAGTCCCTGTCACCATCAGCGACAGCTTTGCTCATCTCAAACAAGCATGAAAAACGGAGCGCTACAGAAATGGGACAGAGGGAGACAGCTCCTGGCAGGTGAGCTCCCACGTGATTTACCCTCCTGACCCAGCACAGCTCTTCCCTCTTGTCCTGCTAAATCAGGGTGCCACGGGGAAGCTAGCACCCCAGCAGGAGCAGCGGGGTTAGCTGAGAGCGGCCACACTGCATCAGCAGGGGCGGGAGGGAGCAGCAGATCCCCGGGGTTCATCCAAACCCCTGACATGGGCCAGAACGAGCATGGGGATGAACAACAGTGAGGCAGGACACGGGGGCACAGCAGGAGATAGAGGGAGTGGGGAGGCAGCCCGGGGGGTTTGGAATGGAGGATGGCAGGAAGAAGGGTAAAGACCTTCGCTCCAGGACTAACAGACTGCAGCGGCAGGTAGGAGGGGCGGTGAGTTGTACAGGTGTGACAGTAACAACAGCGGGTGTCGGGAGGGAGCGGCACCTGAGCGGGGGGAGCAAGCAGAACACAGACAAAAGGACACATTAAAGGAAGGCAGTGGCTTGTGCAGCAGTCCCTGCTCCTCAGCAGCTCCAGTCTTAGCTGGTTTTGGCTATGGGGAATCCCATACTGCAGCTCACCTATGTATCTCACTGCAGGGTTTCGCACATAGAAGCTCGTGCTGGACCCAGCAGGGCACTAAAGCCCCATCCCACCTGGGCTATTTCCACCTCTGCCTGCCCTTCTGCAACCAGGAGAAGCCCCAGCCCCACAGCAGAAGTGACACAGACACAGACCGGCAGTGCCAGCACCTGGACCCTGGCTGGGCTCCCCCCACCACCCAGGGCAGGTGTAGGGGTGTGGTGCCCACCAGAACCCCCAGCTCAGCTCAGCAGGTCACTCCACATACCGTGGATTTCCTCATGCCTGCTCGTGGTTTAGGCACCGGTTTGGAAGATTTTGTTTCAATCATTTCTCCTGCTCCAGCACCCAGAGGCTTTGCTCTCTGGGCTTGCAGGGCGAGCTGGTAGGCGACCTCGAATGCCTGCCCCAACGTGAGGATGATCTCGTACGTCAGGTTCTTGGAGAGAACACAGAACACAAAGCTGTCAGATCGCCCTGTACACAGTCCCCCTTGTGCTCAGAAGCTGCTATGGGGTCACAGACCTTCCCATCAGCAGGTCACATCCTGCTGCATCCCTGGCAAAGCCACTGAGCTCCAGACATGAGGAGAGCCTGACCATGCTGCCTGCCCCAGGTCCCCTGCCCACCTGTAAAGCCCCACCAGCACTTCAGTTCAGCAGCATAAAGAAAAACAGCCCAAAAGTCTTGTGCAATTTTGATTCTGCCCAAGTATAAAAGCAAATCACCCTTCTACCTTCTCTGAGTTGTTAAATCAGCCCATTATGCTGAACATAATTGAGAGCATGTTAGGGGTTTGTGCACGGCACATTCCCCAGGAGGGAAAACTCCTGCCCTGCTTTACTCAGCACTGGAGACAGCAGTAATGAAACCAGACAAATATTCTCTTTGTCCACAGAGGTCCAAAGGACAGGCATTTGGAACTAAGACTATGGTAAAAATGGGTGAAAGAACCCTGGAAAGGAGCAGTCTGTGACCAGCCAATAAAGCTGAGGGATGAAACAAATGGGCTGTGAAGGACCAGGAGATGTGACAGGGCAATGCACTCACCACATCCACAGTGCTGAAGACATGGCAGTAGTGATGGCTGGTCTGCAGGTCCTTGGTGATGTAGGCAAATGTGCAGAGATCCTCAGGGTCCTGGGCAGCACAGGAGATGTTCCGGATCTCGTGCTCAGCAATGACATTCTGCCGGGGTCAACCACAAGCACCCGTCACCCTTCTGGGGATGGCAAATACACCCTGCAAACAGTGGCTGTGGAGGGTGTCCTGGCGACAGGGAAGGGGGGTCTCCCAGCCAGACCAGTCCCAGCTCCCTCCCATGGCAGGAAGAAATGGCAACGTGGTCCACAAGCAGCCAGCCTGCCAAGCCTTTGGCACTCAGGTGATCATCACCACCTTGGTATTCTCCCCCAGCCCCAGAAGCTCCCCAGGACTAGCTGTGGCTTCTGGAGACACAAAAAGTGACCTGCAGCCCCCAGGTAGATGGGATTGCAGGCTGTGTCCCTCCAGACACCGACTTTGAGGCCTCTGCAGCTCACCTTGTTGGAGGCATCGATGAACTTCACCCCTTTGTACGTGATGGACAGGATTATGGTTGGGATCTTCTTCATGTGCTCCGTGGATTTCTTCAGGAATGAGAATATTCAAGTGACCAACTATGAATGGATGCTCCCTCTTTACCCCCACCCCAGAGACCCCCAGGCCTGTACAGGAATCTGGGGATCTGGGAACAGGAGGACGAAAGCAGAGGTGGAAGAGACAAGGACCTAAAGAGAACCCAGCCACCACTTCCCCACCCTCCCAGACCTTCTGGGTACTGGGAACAATGCTGGAAAGGGGGCAGTTCACCAGAAACAGTGGCAGTGCCTGTTTGGTGGACAGCGTTTGGGGAACCACTGAGATCCTCTCCCCAGCCCACATCATCCCCCACAGGCTGCAAGTGAAGCCCCCAGCCCCAGGGTCTCCCTACCCTCATCTTGGCACAGGCGTCCTGGGTAGACTCTGTCCCTCGGAGGTCCTTGATCAGCATGGAGCCCAGGTACTGTGTGAGGGAGGGAGAGATGTTAAATCCTGCCACTCCCAAGGCAATGGCAGTGCCCTGAGAGCCCAGAGCTCCTCATCCTCACCACCCCACAAAGCAAAAGCCACTTACGTTGGCCTCGTACCCGCAGGACTCGAAGATGAGCTTCTCGGGCTGGTGCTGCCAGTTCTGCACAGGGGCATAGGGGGCTGCCAGGCTGGGGGGGCGCAGGGTGAGCCTGGACTCCCGGCGGTCCTCCTGCAGGGCAACGAGCATGGATGTGAAGCCAAAATGGGTTGGAACAGCTCTCAGGGGGGCTTTTTGAGCTGAGGGGATTGAGGGTGGCAATGGCCAAATGCCCCCGGAGCTGGGTGGAGGCAGCACATGGGGTTAAGGTGCCAGTGCTGGTGGAAGTGTGAGCCATGGATTTCTGAGCTGAAACTGAGGCATAAAGAAGATGCTGGCACTAATGCCTGAGGGAAGCTGAGCTGACCAGCTCCCTCCCTGCATCATCCTCATTTCTCCCTGGCTCCAGAGATGAGGGAGCCTGTGCAGAGGCCCCCAGGACACACAGCAGCACCCACTAACCTGTGCTTTGTAGCGCTCAGCTCTGGAGTAGGGAGCAAGCTCAGTGCCACGGTCGTGCTGCCTCTTGGCAGTGTCCCCGGAGGGCAGCAGCAGATCCGCAGATCTGCCCGTGCACGAGTCGTTCTGGCTCAGGGGAGACGACGTCTGGGACATCAAATCCTGGCACTGGAAGGAGCAAACACCACAAAGGAACCCAGTCAGCTGGGGCTGTGCTGTGCCCCCCATCACTCCCTCTACACCGCCCAACACAGCGTGCATTGAGTGGACTAACGGGGTCAGCTCCTGCTCTGGGGGTTCCTGCCTCAGTGCCAATCCCACCCTTTACCTTCTGCATGAGACACCTGATTTGCTCCAGGATGGTTTCAGCTGTGCACTCAGCCCTTTGTGCCCACCATGGTTCCAGCCATGCACTCAGCCCTTTGTGCCCAGCATGGTTTCAGCCATGTACTCATCCCTTTGTGCCCAGCATGGTTTCAGCCATGTACTCAACCCTTTGTGCCCAGCATGGTTTCAGTCATGTACTCATCCCTTTGTGCCCAGTGTGCCCCAAGATGGTTTCAGCCATGCACTCATCCCTTTGTGCCCAGCATGGTTTCAGCCATGTACTCAACCCTTTGTGCCCAGGATGGTTCCAGCCATGCACTCAGCCCTTTGTGCCCAGCGTGCTCCAGGATGGTTCCAGCCATGCACTCAGCCCTTTGTGCCCAGCATGCTCCAGGATGGTTCCAGCCATGCACTCAGCCCTTTGTGCCCAGCATGGTTCCAGCCATGCACTAAGCCCTTTGTGCCCAGGATGGTTCCAGCCATGCACTCAGCCCTTTGTGCCCAGCATGGTTCCAGCCATGCACTCAGCCCTTTGTGCCCAGCGTGCCTCTGCCTCTGAGAGCTCATCCCAGGAGGGCAGGGACACACTGGGCTGCGGGCAAGGTGATTCCAGAGGGGCGGGCTGCCCTAAAGCACCGAGCTAGGCACCCGAGGGTGATGATGATCAGCCAGCCCGGCCGAGGAGCGCCGGGAGCCGCCGCCAGAGCGCGCCCAGGCCCCGCAGGCACGGCCGAGCCTCGGCACAGCTGCGGCCGCATTAGTCCCATTCAAAGCACTCGCTTGATTTGCCATTGACGTCCGCCCGGCCCCCGCGCCGCAGCCAGCGCTGGAGCTCACCAGCTGCAGCGCCAGGAAATGCTGCACATGGCCCATTCTCCCTCCCCGGGCAGCATCTCAATCAGCTGAGCCGCACGGAGCAGCCTCTCCCTGCCTCAGCCCTGCTGCTGCCCACGATGCAGATCCTTCCTTGGCTGCTGGTCCCTGCTGGGCTCCTGCTGCCTGGCACAGGGCACTGGGCAGTGGGTCTGTGCTGGGCACCCTCCCAGTGCAGCACCAGAGTGAGCTCTCTCTGTTCTCACACTTGAACCCAGCTCCTAAAGAATCCCCTGTCAGCAAGCATGGATCCCAGCTCGCTTCAGCTGAGGCTGTTTGGCTTGGAAAGGCTTGGGATTCCAAGAGGGCAGAGCTCTGCAGCAGGGCAAGCACCAGATGTTCAGGTTGGGTAAACTCTAATCACTGCAATTCCTGCTCCAGGAAGCTGATTAGCAATCTCTGGGAGGAGGCAGCACGACATGCTACCCCATTCCTGAGCTCAGGGTCGCTCTGAGCCCAGCAGCTTCTGCCAAACTCAGCTCTCAAAAGCCAGATTCAGGAAGAGCAGGGAATGTGATGCTTCCCTCCCAGCCAAGCCCCATAACAACGGCCTGACAGCCAAATGCTGCCACTCCTGCAGCAAAAATCAACATCCACACACATCCTGTCGAGTGCTATTTGGCAGTGAGAGCAGCAGCTCTCAACAGCCCAGCCGGGCCAGGGAGAGGACTCTGGATCCCAAGGGTGCAATCAAACACCAAGTCCCAGCTGCAGCCCCTCTCCAGTTGGGCTGGTTCACTGCTGCCTGCTGAAAGCTCCCACATCTCTGATCAGGAAACAAGGGCAAGAGAGTGGGCTCAGAGCTCCCTTCTGTGCAGGGCAGAGGTGGGAGTGGCACCCTGCACCCCTTCAGTGCACACACCTGATCCCAAGGGGCAGCCTGACCTTTCCCAAGGGGTCAGCATCCAGAGGGCTGGAATTATCTTGCCCCACTCACTGCAAGGCTTCCCCTACACAAGCATTTGCTGCCTGGTGGCTGAAGAGGACGAAGTGAGCAGCTGGATGGACACCACTGGCCATGGCAAGATTTCTCCCAGCACTGACACACGAACCAGGCAGGGAGCCACGAGCAGGGACTCACTCTCAGCTGTGAGAACCGTGGTGGTTTGGCTGGTGGCTCCTCGTAGGGTCTGTCTGCCAGCGAGGCGATGATCCGCTTCCGATGGCCCAGCAGGTTCACTTTGAGCACCTGCAGGGAGAGATCGGGGTCACCACGGGCACAGAGCCACTCTGAGAGACTTGGAGCAATGCCACCCCCAGGGAACAGGGCAGGAGCTTGCTGCCCTGGCAGGACAGGGGTCACACTCACGTTCACTATCTCAAGCTCCCAGAGGTTTTTCACAGTGTCGATGGAGCTGTAGCCACTCGAGAGGAAGGACTGGATGTAATCCTGCAGCCCCAGGGAGTCGAGCCATGCAGGAACTGATGGCTGGCTATTCCCATCACATCCCAGGGGTTTCAACTGCGAAAGCATAAGGAAGGTGTTAAAAGCTGCAGGAGCTGGGATCCCAAGGGATAGGGGGTCAATGAAAATCAGTTTACAGGGCATCACTATCTCCACTAGCCAGTAACAAAAGCACTGTACAAACAAAGAATGTGCTTGGGATCAAGACTGGCAGGAGGAGCAGTCCCAGCATGGAGCTACCACCATCCACCCTGGAATAGCAGTGTACTCCTCCTCCTCCTCCTCGCTGCTATTCCCCAGAGCCTTCCCACACCCACAGCCCTGCAGATGCAGGGTCTGGCTGTTGCTTCCCCTGTGCCCACAGCCGTGCCTGGCAGTGCCCACCCTGGCGTGCTGACCTTGGGGAGGGAGCGAGCAGCCTGGAGCAGCTTCCGCCGGTGCTGCGGGTCCCCGATGCCGATGTCCCGCAGGTCCTGGTCCTCCATGACATTGCAGCCCTGTGGGGACAGCAGGGAGTGACACGGGAGCAGGGGACAACAGGAGCCACACCGCTGTGTGAACGGACATCACACAGTTAGGGCACCCTCCTGGCTTGACCTCCAGCACGTCCTGGCAGCAGCAGCAGGAGGAGGAGGAGGAGGATAAGGAAGGCTTCCAAGGCTGGGAACTCTGCCCCATGTACCGACCTTGGGCACACAGAGCACTGCCCTCTCCTCCCTGCTCCGGGAGCAGCTTCCAGCCCTCAGCCCCGGGGCATGGCTTACAGCCACCTCCGTGGGATTCCACACACAGAGGCTTTAAACATCCTGTAACAGTGCCCAGGCAAACCCCGGCCCCCTCCATGCCCGAGGGTTCTGCTCAACCTCCCCACACTGTGCTGAAAACCCATTTTGTGCCCCCTTCCCCCTGCAGAGCAGAAGCACACAGACTCCATCCCCCTTTAAAAGCCTCTGTCCCAGCCTACCTCCCTGCCCTCCTACCTGGGCACAGCTCAGCAGGACACGTCTCCCCCGGCTGGCAGAGCTGCTGCTGTGTGACTGAGGGTTCCAGCTCCAGCCCAGACCCCCTCCCTGGCCCTGCCTCCCTCTGCTCCCCGGAGAGTCCCAGCAGGTGAGTGCCGACAGCGCCTCGCTGCTCCACATTTTGGTTTTATAAGAGAAACCCAATTAAGGCCGGCCTCAGGGAAGGTGAGGGCAGGTGAGATTGCCAGGCACCCTCCACAAAGGGCAGCAAAGGGTTTCCTGCCCCTTCCCATCCGTGCTTTTGTGGGATTTCAGCACGTGTGCTTTGCTGAGTGCTACCTGCTTTAAATGCTGCCCCAGAGCAGCCTCCTCCTGAGCCTGTCCTTGCTCCTGGCCATGCCAGCAGCTGCTCTGCTCTTCCTGCCACTTCCACGGCAGGTGTGGTGACAGCAGAGGATGGCACATGGCTCCGCACCCAGGAGCTGCCCTTCCCTCGGCCACAGAGGAATTAAGAGCAGAGATGCCCAGAGACCTCTCTGCCCTGCAGCCCAGAGCAGGCATTTAGCAAACAGCAAATGAGCAGTGGGAGGCAGGATGCAGAGCCCTCAACACCCCCTGACGGGGCTCCTCTGCCTCCCCCTCCCTTGGCAGCTCAGATCCCACACACTGCATTCCTGGAGAGCAGAGCCTGAGCTGACAGCCACGGCACAAAGGCATTTATTTGCTGAGAGTTGTTCAAACAACGGAAAAGTCTGGGCTGAATGGCTCTGCAGCCAACGGGGACGGGCTCATTCAGTGTTTTCCCCCAAAGGCCAGTTCACAGACTGTGCCAGTCAGGGCCATTGTGCTGGGAAGAGTTTCTGCCACTGCCCCAGAGCCCCTGAGCACACCAGACCATGGCCAGACCCCCCTGCCCTGCACCCCAGAGCCTGTGAGCGAGGCCAAGGGACACCAGGGGCTCACCTGATGGAACCACAGCACATGAACTGTTCTGTGCACCCCTCAAGTGCACAAAATCAGGGAGTAAGAAGAGGCAGGTTGCTGCTGAAAGCTCCAGGCTGCCCATTTGGTGCACAAGCTGCAGTTCTCTTGGACTGGGAACAAACTCCCAGTGATTAACAGGAGGAGCTGCTGCTGCCAGGGCAGTGACCTCGGGCTGGTGGGCTGCAGCATCCCACCAGAAAGATGGAAACATCCCCTCCCCTTTCTTGTTCTTGAATTTTAAGCCAAAGAGCCACATTTAATGTGCATTCCTGTAACAGCAGGGGATTGTGTGCTGGGCTCTGGGGAGGAGGGAAGGGATTAATGGGGATTAACTCCCCTGACAGACACCTCACCTGGCAGGAATGCAGGATGTGTGTGAGGAATTCATCTCCCAGAGAGAGATGGCTTGGAAAGGGCTTTTTGAAATGGACAAAGAGGGCCAGAGCAAGTGATGGGATTTCTCTCACAGCTTTGGAAAGCAAAATATTACTGCCCTGTGAGGGGGAGGAATAGGGAGGGACTGAAGTACCCACAGCATGGCACACCTCAGGTACCTGAAACCTGCAGTTCCCAATGCCTGGGCCTGCTCTGCTCCCTTGACCTGCCCATCTTGGTGCTCTGAGGCTCCATCCCCCTGCAGAGGGCCAGGGCTGAAGCTGGGGCAGTGCAGGAGATGCTGCCAAGGGCAGAGCTCACAGCCAGCCCTGCCCTCGGTGCCACCCAGACAGCAGGAACAGTCAGCAGCCAAAGGAGCTGTGACAATGGCAAGGAGTAATTTTCATGTATAAAAACCAAACAAACTTGCTGATCCCATTTATACTTTCACTCATGCTCGCTTTCCAGGGTTGAACCCTTTTTGGTGCTAATCCCCTTTGGCATGGCCCTGATCCCACACGGGCAGCACAGAGCTGGTGGCTCTCCCTCTCCCACAGGGCACCAGTGCCAGCCCCAAGGCAGGGCAGTAGGTGTCCTCCCACCTTTGGCATCTCAAATTCAAAGAAAATTGCTTGCTCTGTAGCAAGGGTAGAAGGTAGTTAAACACTGCGAGGCCTACAGCTTTCTCCTGCACTCCTTATTTTTATGTGTCACGTTAAATTCCCTCGGTGGCAGTCTGTATTCTCTGGGTACTTAACAAGGATAGACAAAGCATGGCAGCTCTGAACAAATCATCCCAGCCCCTGGTGCAGGAGAAATGTCCTTCAAACCCATCTGGATTTCAACTCCCATGCAAAACAATAATCTGCCACTAAAAGAGAGAATTAAATACAAAGACACCAGAAATCTTTTAACCTTTGCCAGCCACACAGAGGAGCCAGACTTTAAACCTGTCTGCACTCAACACGCCCTCAGGCAAGAGCCAAGGAGCAGAGCTGCTCTGCAGGGGCCACTGCTGCTTTTTGCTCTGACCCACAGGGCAGCAGATGCCACCTCCCAGTGCCCCCCTGAGGGCACAGGGCAGCCCCAGTCCCACCAGCCCCTCCCCAGGTGCTCTGAGGACGGGCTCAGTGGGGAGAGCAGGGCTCCAGGATGTGCTCTGCCCTCAGCCCAGTCCTCCAGCAGCAGCCTCAGAGATGCCAATCACAATCAAAAAGACTTTTTTCCCCATTCCATTCCTTGTGACAAGTGCTTTTATCTTGCACGTTCCTCCTGGGTGCCCCAGCTCCGTGGGGCCGAGCAGAGGCAGGGAGGCTCAGGGCTGGCCTGGGCCAGAGCTCTCCCTGTCACCCACATTTTGGGGCAGTGAGGGACACCCAACAGCCCCTCCACCCCAACACCTCACCATGAGCTCTGTGAGGGACCAGCCCCACCTGGGCTCAGCCAGGGAAGGTGAAACGCAGCACCTGGGGCAGATTACCTACCAGCAGCTGCTCTGCTCTTCCGGCCTCTTCTGAGAGGCAGAGAGCTGAAGCAGTCAGAGGGCCCTTCATCCCCCAGCCTGGCCTTCAGCTTCCTCTGAGCCCCCTCCCTGGAGAGGCACCAGTACCCACCACCATGAGGGAACTCCTGAGCCCTGTCCCTGCCCTCCACACCGCCCCAAGGGAGGGCAGGGATGTGCCAGTGCCCCCTGTCCCCACTGGGAGCCCTGTGGGATGCTGCTGCAGCCGACCTGCCTGCAGAGACACGAGTTCTTGGAAAAAGGGCTGGCTTTGGTCACACCTCAGCGCCTGCACTGTGGTTAAACAGCCTGTGAGGCTCCAGGTTTCTCATTAAAGGAAGAAAAACAGTCAGAGGTTACCTGGCAGAAGGCAGCGTCCCCTCCTGCGACCGAGGTGACCCCAAAGTGACTGAGCCAAAGGCAGAGCTGCCCAAACCCGCCAGATTCCTCCTCCAGCAGGACACTCTGCAGGCACTTAAATACCCAATTTTCAGATGCTGCTTCCTCCCCAGAGCCTGGCATCCATCCACGCTCCTGTTCCAGCTAAGGAAGGGCCTGGGGCAGCGAGTGCTCCCTGCAGGACTCGTGGCTGGGCTGGCAGCACAGGGACCCGAGGGCAGCACTGCCATGGCACACCCTGCACGGGCAGGATGGCACCAGGACGGCACCAGGATGGGGCTGCTCCAGAAAGCAACAGATGCAAAACCCAAACAAAGCGTTCCCAGACTCCAAAGGCTCCTGCAGACACCCCAAGCAGAGAGACAGATGAAAGCTCTCTGTGCATACAAAGTGCACACAAAGCTCATTTTCTTTTTCCCCTCAGTGCATTGGAGACAATTTGCATCTTGTTGAAGATTCTGCTGTCACTGCTACTGCTCTGCTTTTGGCAGAGATGGAGACAGGTCCAGCTCACAGCTGGGCACACCCAGATCTCAGAGCAGGGGGACCCCATTTGATCATACAAATCTGTGTTTGTGATCTGTGGAGTTTGGTGCCTTCCCTTAAAGGAATCTGCAGTCTGGGGTACTTGAGTGGAAAGCAGGGGAAAGGATCTGTTTGGTCCCAGCTCTTCACAGAGCATCAATGGGGAAAGAGGCTCATACACAAAACCCTACAATAAATCTGAGATTAGCACACAGCCACTTCATTTTTAATTTTCTTCCCCATGCAGACTGGCAGCGTGACAATGGCAACAGAGGGAATCGGTCATGGTTGTCAAGTTCAGGCAATTTTATGGAGAGAAAAAAAAATTAACTGCAACTTTAATGGGTTTTTTTTTAATGTTTATAGGGCCTGGAGCTACTAATGAATCAAACATAAGTATCCTCTAAATTGCCAGTTCTGGTCCACCCACTTTGCTCCTCAAAATCCACTTCAACCTCTCCGCTCCCCGTGGAGTCCATTCCTATTATCCAGGGAGCTTTGGCACAGCTCTGCCATTTCCCAAGATCCTCAAACTTCCTCCAACCCCAGATCCCTGCATGCCTCTGCTCTCACCATTCTCTTGCAGAGACAACCCCAACACCCCTACCATGGTGGATAAAGCACAGTCCTCAGGAACCACCAAGGACCAGCCAGAACCCACTGGGGAGATGTCAAACAAAATTCATTTAATTGAAAGAAGTGATTCCCACTTGGGGCTTGGCAGAGACCCTGACCCCAGGGTCCAACTCTA